CTACACGACAAAATTCCCCACAGAACCCCTTCTTTTCTTTAAAAATCTCCTTTTTCCGCCAATATTACATTCAAAAATCGGTAACGTTTGACAGCATTACGATCATATTATGGTGAAATATCACAATAATTCTCTCAAATTCGCATCCATTCATAAAAAAATTATTTTTTTAGCAAGGTGGCGCACATGGCCCTCTTCCTCTCTCCTCCCATCTTCTCCCATCTTCGGTATTTATGAACTCCCCCACTCCTCTCCTCCCACTCTCTCTCTCTCTCTTTTCTTCTTCTTCTTTTGAATGGAGGGAGCGAACCCTGAATTGAAGAGGAGGAGATCGAGGTCGGGGGCGATAAGAAGACGAGAGACGATGAGAAGAGTGAGGAGGGAAAATGGGGGATCGGTGAGGAGGAAGGTTATAGAGCTACAGAAGCTGGTGCCCGGCGGCGAAGAGCTCCGGCCGGAACAACTCTTCGCTAGAACGGCAAATTATATCTTTCAACTCCAGGTGCAAGTTCGTCTTCTACAGGCCTTGTCTAAGCTGTATGTGGCTTGAATTATTTGCAAGTATGATTATCTGTTTGTGAAGCTGTATTAATTCTTATTTTTTAAAATAATTGTGGTGTTTTTGCTTTTTCTTTAGGAAATATGTTTGGGGAGGAGTGAAGGAAGAATTTGAGGGAATTATGTGTTTTGTTGATGATGATTGTGAGTATATATAAAGGATTTTATTGGAGGAATGTGTTGATAGGGGTATTTGTTTGATTTTGTTATTGGTGGGATAATGCTATTTGTGTGAATTATTGATCTTTGTTTTTTGTTGTTTTATTTATTTATTTATTTATTTATGATGTTTATTGGATCGATTGAAAAATCAACAATGATGTGGTAGCATATGTAAATAAACATGAATCTCTTTGTGTAATGAAACATATTGTAGAAATAATTGATTCAAGACTCTAACAAGTTTGGACATATTGGAAAGAAAGGGATTAACTCTCTAAAATTTTAGCTGAAGGTTTATGATGTCTCTGAGAGGATCTCAGGCCAAGTCTCCAATAGTACTGAGAGAATTTCATAACCATAAGAGAGCTAAGCGGAAAGTATTTCATGAAATTCTCCAGCACCAAATCATGAGAGCCAAGAATTTAAGGATTAAGAACCGGAGAGCGAAGGCCGTCGGGTGCGAAAGATCCAAAAATCACTGCGTGATAAAAAACTTGGGAGCCCATGACAGCCATAGTTATATAGTGATTACAATAATCGAGCAAAGTCAGACCGCTAACTTGGTGCCATTGACAACAGTGATGCTCATATCATCTCTCCTATTTAGAGTAATAATGTCCTATAATAAATGTCAATCACAATTGTGAGTCATATTTGTTAAATTTATGTTTTTTATTTAATGGATATATTATAATTGATTTGTAGTCTTTTTTTTTTTTTTTTTTTTTTTTTTTTTTTTTTTGTATGACATAATCTTATTTTATATAAAGGATATGAGACTCATATGGTGAGAAGAGCTGTTGTAATTCCAAGCAGTTCATTCTTTTTTCACATCTCGTACTAGTGAAATCTCACTTGTCCTGGACATAAGACGCCGAACCACGTAAACCAATGTGTTTGATTGTTATTGTATGAATTTCTACGCTTTCACATCATTTTCATATAACAATTGGTATTAGAGTCAGACTTTTGATCGGATTAAAGTTCAGTGTAGATAGCACATCCGGCGTGTGTTGCCAGAGCTTTTGCAACAGGTGGTCCGACGTGCAGATGGGTGGCAAAAGGAGGTTCCAACGAGGTGTGGCATGATCCGGCCAGTTCGGGGAGAGGAAAAAAAATCCAGAAAAACTTCGGTCTGCATGTGGGAGTCGTTGGTCTTCCTTCAGATGGCAGTTCGGCAAAGGAAAGGCTTCACGTAACTTCGCTATAACAGAAAGGTTTTAGAAGGAAATGAATTTCTGCCTTGAGAAAAATCAGGAATTTCTAACAAGGAATTTTTGCTTTTTAAAAGGAAAGTTTTGTTAGAAGAAAAGGAGGAATTTCGTGGAACCACAGAAAGCTTTGAGTTTCGCCAAAAAAAAAAGAAATTTTCTTATGCTTCGTTTGGCGCAGCTTTCTTTCGGCGGTGCGGTGGGACACCGTCGAAAAAATTCGTTTGGGGCGACATTTCGTATGCGGCGGGCACGAATCTGAGCGAAAAGTGGGTCGTGGGATCGACCTCGGGGTCCCGCTTCTCTCCTTCGACATTTTACGCAGGTGCCCTCCGATTTCTGCGATCCTGGTTCAGCGAAGCTCCCTTGCCATCAGCGAAGCGCTTCGTCGGTCCACTTCCATCAGCGAATCCAGAGGACGAACCCCATGGCATCAAGCTCTGCTTCTTCCCCACCTTCATCTTTCTCTTCATCTCCTCCCTCTTACAGCTACCCCTCAAGCATAATCCATATGAATGGAGATCATCTCATTTCCATCCTCCTACTTCTTCCTCTCAAGTCTATTATTTCCTTCTCCATGACATGCTGTAGGTTTATGTCTCTGGGATCCTCAGACTCGCTTTGGAAGGAAATTTGCAGGAGGGATTGGACGAAAGATGGGGTTTCGCCCAGGCCTAGGGCTTCTGTTGAGTATAGTTAATTTTTCTCTATTTATGTTAGTTCCCATTGAGTTTTTCTGTCTCCTCGCTTTGATTGAAAGGCAATTACATGGAGATTTTATGTTCCATTGGTTTGGAGTGATGAAATTGTGTGTGTCAACTGATGTTTGGACTTATATATTGTATCTTCTCTTTCACTTTATAATTGTGATCACGGGAGTGCTTATGGGAGCTCAGGATGTCCAATCAAAACCATAGGTGAACTTAGCATATTATCAAAGCTAGTTTTTCCTTTGATTCTAATTTTTGACATTCCATTTTAACTTAGGGCTGTTGGATTTTTGTTTCTCTGATGCATTGACTTGAGATGGAAAATATTAGTGTATCTTCAGCTTTGTTCAACATAACTCAGAGCATGGTGAAGTCATTATTTTTATCTTGTAGACTTATCTCAACTACTTAAGAGTGGTTTTTCATCATGTTGTGTACACATGGCAACTATTTTTGGTTGATGTTTATCATTGTGCAGCTTTGTTCCAACCAGTTATGGTTATCATGTTATCTGGAAAAGGAGTAATATCAACTTTGTCTCATTTATTTGAAGTTCACTGCTATAGATAAGCTAAATTTAATTTTTTATATATTTAGCTTCTAAAGTGAATTTTTGCTTCCGATGTATCATATATAAGGTCATCATTGTTTTGTTCCAAACAGTTTAACTAAATAGAGGCAGAATAGTCATTTTTTCATGAACAACTGCTCCTGCAACAAACAACCAGCCAGCTTCCCCGCAGCAGCTTCCCCGCAGTAGCTTCCTGGGGCAGTGCAGTTGCAGCTGAAAAGCTGGAAAGCTACAGCTGGGCCAAACAGACCCTTAAACAGAGAGAGCATTTCAAATTTTTGGGAGTAGAAGGAAAAAACAAAAGATTTTTTTAGAAAACGAAGTTAAAGAGAAAGAAATAAAAAAAAAGAAAAGAATTTTTTTTCAAATAATTCAAAAAAAAAATTCCATGAAGAATAATTTTTTGGAAAAAAAAAGGCGACAGAAATAATTGATAGCACAAGTAAGTTCTTTAACATCCTCTATGATAGTGGAAAAATAGGTTCATCAGGTGGTTATGCATCCCGTCAAAATTGATGTGATAAAATTTGACGACAAATGAAACTTTAGCATGTGACGATATGAGGTGATGAATGTGTTGTGTCTATGAATCTGAAGGAAGTCCTGGATAGTGAGCAATGTCTTGAAGAAATGTCAAAGAGAGATTGATTGAAGATGAACATGAGTGCTTGTGGTCTGATCTGAGATTGCTTAACACAAAAAATCAAATATGGTGTGCTAATGGAAACTTCTGCATGAAAATTGTGGATGATGCTGGAGAATAAATATCTTACGAAGAATGTAGAGAATCGTCTCCATATGAAGCATTGAATTTATAGATTGCAGAGAGACGAGGGGTTACTATTAATGAACACTTGAATGATTTCACAAAGCTGTTGATAGATTTGTTAAATTTAAAAGTGGAGGTTATAGATGAAAACAATGCGCTTCTTCTGTTGAATTTGCTCCCGGATGTATATGAAAATCTTACTATGACACTCATTTATGAGAAAAATATCTTGAATTATGACGAAGTGACTATGACACTATTGAATCATAAGTTTTGTTGAATGGTCAAGGAATCTGTAAAGATGGTAGCTATGACACTTTCACTCCAATGTAGCATATATGAAAGAAGAAGAAGAAGTATTGGTCAAAGAAAGGTGGCAACAGTGACACTTCTCAAAAGCGGGGCAAGTTTCGTGGGCATAGTTTTTGGGAAAAATTAGTTTTTTTTTTTGTTTAGAAATAGATCTTTAGAAGAAAGATTATTTGAAGTTAAAGGAGAAGGGAAAGACAGTTGTATCTGATGCGAAAGCCAATATTATTGAAGAGACAGATTAAGATGTATCATTATCTAAGTTTCTCACAGTTTGTTTATAGATGATTCATACTGAGTTTTGGATACAGGTGCTACCTATCACATTTATCCCCATCGAGGATGGTTTTGTTTGTACAATGAGCTGGATAGCGGTGTAGTGACTATGAGCAATGATCAAACTTGTCGTATTATTGGTGTAGGGAGTATTTTTATCAGAATACATGATGGTACTGTGAGGAAACTAACTGATGTTAAAAATATTTTAGATATCAAGAAAAATTTGTTGTAAGCTGGGGCCTTAGAGTCCAAGGGCTATAAGGTTGTTATTGAAGCAGAAGTTCTGATGATATGTCAAGGAGCACTGCTTTTTATGAAGGGAGTTCGCCATCACAACTTTTATTATCTTCAGGGTAATAAAGTGACTGGAACGGTTGTTGTTGCAGATAATTGTTCTGATGCTACTATGTTCTGGCATATGTGGATAGCTCATGCTAGAAAAGCTTCACTTCAGGCTTTTGTGAAGAAAGGATTGATCAAAGGTGCGAGCACCTACAAACTTAATTTATGTGAACATTAAGTGTTTGACAAAAAGACACGAGTATATTTTGGGACTGTCATCTACACTACAAAAAGCATTTTAGAGTATGTTCATACATATGTTTGGGGCCCGATGAAGACAACATCATTCAGGAGGCAAAGATACTTTGTCTCTTTTATTGATAATTACTCTATGTATACTTGGGTGTATATCATGAAGCACAAAAATGAAGTGTTAGGGATTTTCATTACTTGAAAGAAGTGGGTGGAGACTCAGACTAGTAAAAATATCTGATGTATTGGATCATATAATGGGGACTAATAAACTTCAGTTGCATTCTTGCAAGAGTGTCAGAGACCTGGCATAGAGCACTAATTCGTTGTTCAAGAGACACCACAGTAATACAGGGTGGCAAAGAGGATGAATCGAACTTTAGTGGGGAAAGTTATGTGTATGATATCCAATGCTTGTTTAGATAGAATTTATTGGGTCGAAACCATAGAATATACATGTCACTTGGTGAATCATCTGCCTTATGCATCTATTGGAAAGAAGATCCCAAATGAGATGTGATCAAGACATCATAATCGAGAGTGTTTGGGTGTCAAACTAAATACCACATGCAAAATGATAAACTGAAGTCACGAGTAAAGACAGCGATCTTTGTTGGTATCAGGCGTGGAGTCAAGGGCTTCAAGTTTTATGATCTGTCACAAAGAAAGATTGTCATTGGA